GGGGGGGGGCACGAGCGCGGAGAGAGCAGGGGAGAGGAGGGCGGGGGCGAAGGCGGGAAGGAGCCGCGCGTGAGCGACTGCGTGCGGGAGCAGGCGGGGAGGTGGGCACAGGTTGGGGAGCTGGGTGAAGGGCTAAGGTGTCGTGCGTGGGGATAAGGACGTGGTGCGAGCGTGAGCGGGTGAGGCGGAGTGTGCCGTGCAGAAGGGCAGAGCGCGAGTGCGGGTGTCGCGGGGGGCAGAGGGGGTGACAGGGGAGAGCGTTGCGTGTGTGTGAGGGTGTGAGCCCTGAGGGAGGAGGAGTGTGATGTGGGCAAGGTGAGTGTGAGCGGTGTTCGTGGACAGGTGAGTGTGAACACGAGGGTGTCCAGTCTAGCGAGAGGCTGTGGACTGAGCCGGGAGAGGGAGGGAGTCGGGACAGGTCAGGATCTCCCAGTGCCGGGCGGGGCTGGGGCTCGGGCGTGGGGTGGGGTCGGTGCCTTCGCTCCCTGCCTCCCTCCTGTCCTGACCCGAAAACCCCGTGTTTCCGCGTCGTTCCCCGGGAGGGGCCCCCTGAAAGTGAACCAGCTGGAAGGAAGCCTGAGTTCTGGGCCCCTGGGTGGGGGGAGGGAGAGGCTCCTGTAGACACCTCCCGGGCCCTGGCGTCCTAGCTCCCCGCTCCTCCCCGCCACCGCCGCTCTTCCTGCCCCATCTCTGTGTCCCTCTCTGTGTGCATTTGACTCAGCCCTTCCCAAGGACTGCCCTAATGCATGATCTCTTGTTATGTGAGATAATCAATTTCCTCTTTGCTTTAACCGTTTTGAGTTGGGGGCCCTTTTAAGAGCAGCCTTGGCCACCATATCGCATCTGGTTCACCCGGAGGGCATGGAGGCAGCCCTGCTTGCCGATTAGAACATTCTAAGCAATAGTTTTCTTTTTCAGTTGCTGCTCCATCCTTGTGGTGGGATCTCTCTTGCAGTCTGTTTTCCAAGCTCTGGCCAAGTGGGCAGCATACCAGGAGGACCGCAGGAGGGTCCTTGTGTACCCCCAGGAGGGTTCAGGTTGCTTGTGTACGACCTGAACAACTGTATGCAGTGGCTTTGATGTGAATTTCACTGGCCTGAGTAGAGGGGACTGTGGACAGAACCTTGACCCAAACCGGACCCAATCGGAGTGTCATGGCTAAAATTTTAGAAATGAGACTCAAGTAGTTCTTCGTACTTAACATCTCAGTGGGCATGTTTGGCTATTACGTGTGAAGTAGAAGAAGGTAGTCTGTGGAGAGACAGAAAAATAAAGTGGAAGTCTAGGAGGGAAATCACACATTCAGAGAGAGAAAGGGCAAGAGAGAGTGATTGATTGAGATTCTGCAAGAAGGAGATAACCTTGATTTTACACAGCTTGTCAATCGTTTCCTGTCCCTGGTGAGGCCTGGAGACCCAGCCCTTGCTTGGATTCTAAACTCCTGACAATGTTGTTTTTGCCAAGTCAGCATAAACAGATTTTACTTCTTGCAACCAAAGTTTCCTGAATAAAAATTTGGGAGCCATTAGCAATGAGGTCCTAACACAAGCTAAGGTATAGGACATGGGAAATTGGTCCATACCCTCAGTATCTGCTGGAAGGCATCATGGGGCGTGTATTTCTGTCCTCTGAGCTCCATTGTAGGAGATAATGGGAGATGTAATCTTAGCCTCCAATCTCTGCCGTAGGGTCTTGTGGGAGATGCCGTCCAGTCCTAACCTCAACACCTGTCGCTGGGCATCGTGGGAGATGTACCCCTAGCCTCCATATCTGTCATAGGGAATCATGGGAAAGGTGAAATTCCTCAATTTTAATTATGGAGCATCTCATAAAATGTCGTCTTAGCCACATCTCTGCTGTAGAGCATCATGGGAGAGCTAGTTCTGGCCCCGGTTTTGTTGCAAAGCACCAAAGAAGATGTAGTCTTTCCTTCCTTCCTTCTCTCTTTCTTCATCGCCTGCCATGGTGTGGGTGCTATTCCAGGCACTAGGACTACAGCAGCAAGCAGATAAAAGGCCTTTCCCCTCCATGGCAATTGTAATGGGGAGAGTTAGCAAAAAATAAACAAGAACGTGACTGCCCCGGTGAACTGTTGCCAAATAAGAAAATACTCCAAACCTTGGAGACGTCAAACAACGACCTTTTTATTTTATGATTCTGTGGGTCAGGAATTTGAGCAGGATTGGTGTGTATCTGCTTCACGATGAACTGGAGCCAAAAATGGACTGGCTTGAACAGCTGGAGATGGAGGGGACACTCATCTAGGGCCACATATCTCAGGCTGTTGCTTGGTGTTGCGGGTATGGAACTGTGTCCTCCTAAAATATATGCTGAAGTCCTAACCCCTGGGATCTATGCATGTGACCTTATTTGGAAATAAAGTCTTTGCAGATGTGATCACATTAATGATTAGATGAATCCATACTGGATTAGGGTGAGCTCCAAATGCAGTGATTGATGTCATTATAAGAAGAGAGACATTTGGAAACACACGGCCGCACTCACAGGGAGGAAGGCCATGCGAAGACAGAGGTAGAGATTGGAGTGATGCGCTGTCAGCCAAGGAATGCCAAGGATTTCTGGCAACCGTCAGAAGCCAAGGGGAGGCAAGGAAGTGTTCTTCCCCAGAGGCTTTAGAGGGAGCATAGATCTGCCAACACCTTACTTTCGGACTTCTGGCATCCAGAACTATGAGAGAATGACTTTCTGTTGTTTTAAGCCACCTAGTTTGTAAGTTTGTATTAATAGTAATTTATCATGGCAGCCCTAGGAAACTAATACAGCTGGGTTTCCTGGTTTTCTTCTCTATATCATATCTGCTGGGGCTGCACGTTCACGGTGGCTCCTTCACCCACTTGTCTGGTACCTGGGCTGAGAAGACTGAAATATCTGGGGCTTTCTATCCAAGTGGTATCTTATCTATACACGAGTAGCTTGGGCTTCCTTACAGCATGGCAGTCTCAGGGTACTGCCCTGAGGTACGTGGCAACTGGCTTCCCCAGACTGAGCGTTCCAAGATTGAGGAAATGGAAGACAGCAGTTTCTTAAGGCCTGGTTTCAAAACACGTCACAGGAAAACTTCCGCCACATCCTAGTGGTCAAAGCAGTCACAAAGTTATTCATGTTCAAGAGGCAGAGGGTACAGACCCCACCTCTTGAAGCTACCACAATGACAAGTGGTGATATGTGATTGGAGGAAGTCCTAGAAAGAACCCCTGTCCCTCCTCACCTGCCCCCAGATACCATGGAAGATGTCCTATTTTTTTCTTCGTTAACCAGAGGGCGCCGTGGGGAATGTAATTTTGTCTCGACTCATGGGAAACAGGAATTCTTCCATATTGTGCTCCAAGAGGGTCACTGAAATGGTAGTTGTGGCTTTTTGTCTGACAGTCCTAAGGCATCCTGGGAAATATAGCCCAGCTTTTATCCCCTGTCCCAGAGCATCATGGGAAGTGTAGTCCTGTCCTTATTTCTCACTGCCGTGCATCAAGGGAGTTCTGGCCCTCAGGTTGTCTCCTATCCATCTCCTGTCCCAGAGCACCCTGGGAAACACAGACACGTCTCCTTAGAACAACAAAATTGTCTTAACCTTTGAAGTTTGGGGCAAGAGACTGGACGGTTAGTGTTGGGTGGGTGAGTTGGAAGGTTGCATTTGGAAGCCAGAAATAGCTGTGGAGGCAGCTTAGGGCAGAAGCCCACAGGGACAGCCTCCCAGGCAGGGCCCTCAAATGCCTGGGTCCTACAATGTGACCTCTAATTCCAAGAACCTGTGGCAAGGTGCCCCCCACCATTCATCCCTCTAAAGATAGATGATACAGAAAAGGGCAGATCCAGCTTTGATCACTGGTAAAAAAATAGTTAGGTATAAAAAAATCTTTATTTAAGTATAAAATAAATAATATGAATATTAATTAATAATAACAACAATAGCGGCAACATTATTCATAACAACAGTTCTCCTGCTGGCCCACAGCTTTTCTCCAGCTTTTCTTCTCTGGTTCTCACAACAACTCGATGAGATAGGTGTTTGACAGCTGGGAAAACAGGCCCAGAGAGGTTGACACACTGGCTTGAGGTCACACAGCAAGTTTGCAGGGCTGAGAGCTGAGGGAAGGGCAAAGGAGTCCCCCGGATCCAGCCGGGCTAGGGATGGGGGGGTTGGGTTCAGGTCCAGAGGAGAGTGCCTCCCCACAGTCTGGCGGTCAGAAGCAGGGTGACAGTGAGGCTGAGGCGGGCAGGGCCAGGCCGAGGGGTGCCCCCTCTGCGGTGCTGGACATCCCAGGCTGGGTGGTTACAGCCACTTCCATTACAGCACGTGACATTGATATGGGTCAGGCTGAAGGCATCGGCCACGTGGACGCGTTGGCACCATGAATCGGTCGCACAGCCTCTTACTGTGTAGCTTGGGGTTCCCGGCCCTGGAGGAAAGAAAAGACTGAGTGAGACTCCCAGCTCTTGGGCCTCGGCCTGAAATTCTCAAGCAGGTGGCATGCCATCTTGTGGTCGGGGCCACCTTCACTGCCACCTGGAGAAAGCAGCAGTTCTCAAAGTGTGCTCCAGGGACCCCTGGGGGGGGGTGGGTTCCCAAGACCCTTTCAGGAGATCTGTGAAGCCAAAATTATTCTCGTAATAGTACTAAAACATTTGGCTTTTTTGCTTTCATAAGTGTACAATGGAGTTTTCTAGAGACTTCAGGACATGTGATATTGCAAGAGACTGAAAGCAGAAGCAGCTGTGAGAATCCAGCTGTTTCTATTAAGCCAGACATTAAAGAGACGTGCAACACCGTAAAACAATGCCAGGCTTCTTCTTGCATTTTCTCATTTTGGAAAATACAGGCATTTTTCATTAAAAACTATGTTAACGTGTTACGAAGTTTTGTTATTTTAAAAGAACTAATAAATAAATAAGCCTTTTAAAAATGTCTCAGTTTTAATTTCTAATGCAGTATATATCTATCGAAATGACTGATATAAACAGTAATTTTTAAGAGCACGAAGGAGTTTTGAGGCCAAAAGCTTGGAGGATGGCACAGGATGGAAGCCCAAGATGTCCACAGCAGGTCCAACCCTCCTACGGGACATCTCGCCACTAACAAATGCCACTTTTCTATGGCAGAAACATCCATTTCCTGATGACAAGTCCCAATTCCTTGCTATAATTCTCACAGGAAGGTCCACCTCAGTAAGTCCAGCTTAACTGGAAGTCAACCTCCTGCAGAACCCCCTGCCCCCCAATAAGCGTCCCCTCCTAGCCTCCCAAAGGACCTCACCATTAGTGCCAGTGGCTTCCAGACATTGATTCATGGGGCCTCGGCAGTCGATGAGGGAAGTCTCTTCCGAGGAACACCCGTGGGTGCTGTTCCCCTCACAGCTGTGACACTGGAAGCCGTTCAGTGGCAGGTCTTGAAGCTCCACGACTTAGGAGAAGACAAGAGACACAGAGACCAAGGAAATTAGCACGTGAGTCCCTCCTTCCTTGCATTTCCTCCCTGGGACTCCCACTGTCAGCCCGAGATGTGATGGAGCCACCTTGTGGTCAGGTGCTGGAGTGGCACTTTCTTTTGGGGGAGTTCTGGAAGGCTTGAGAGAAACCCCAACTCTCAACTCCCCATGAGGAGGAGCCCCATTTCTGGCCAGGCACTACGCCGGGCACTGCGTAAGCAACTGTGTAAGACAAAAACTGAGTTGCTGCCCTCACACGACTTACGATTTAGAGCTACGCCGTCCAATATGGTAGCCACTGGCCACAGGTGGTTATTTAAATTTAAATTTAAATAAATTAATATTCAATAGAAATTTAAAATTCAGTTTGCATTGCAAGCGCTCAATAGCCACGTGCAATAGTGGCTACCATATTGGACAGAGCGCAGATACACCACCTTTCCACCTCTACAGAAAGTCCCGTTGGACAGTGCTGGTTTATAGAGACAGAGTGACATAAGGGATCTTCATTATATTGGAGGGGAGGGACAGCGAAAGTTTCCCTTTGACTTTTTTTTCCTTTTAAGTCACTCTTGCTGTTGGGTTGAGGCTTGGCTGTAGGGTGGCAGAGGTGGAAGCAGGGAGACCAGTGACAAGGTCATTGCAACAACCCGGACAAGAAGTCATGGCGGCTTGGCCCAGGAGGTGGCAGTGGAGGTGGTGAGGAGTAGAAGGTTTCGAGAAAGATGTATAAGAGGGAGAAAGCACAGATCTTAGTGAAGGGTTCACAGTCTCACTGAATTCCCACAAAATCCTTCTTCGAGACAGGCTTGGTACGTCCACTTTTTAAAAACATTTTTTGGGGCCAGCAAGATGAGGATCAGATATGCCCATTTTTCAGAAGAGGAAATGAGGCTCAGAGGGGAACAGAGCAAACAGATTTGCCTGAACGTGACTCAGTGGCAGTCTGCCCCAGTGCAACTCCCTGCCCAGTCCCAGGCCCCACGCCAGGTCCCCAGCCCTTTACCTGGACCCCCGTTGCATTTGGTGGTGTTGCAGCACTGCAGAAAGTGGAAGGTGTGGTTGTTATGGAAGCCGGTGGGGCCTGGGCAGCCAGGAAGGTAGCCACAGCCGCGGGTGTGTTGCTCATCATTTAGATCCCCTATGGGGGGTAGGGGGGAAAGGTCAGAGGTTAGATTATGGACAAGGGGCTGAAACTGGATTTGCCCAACATAGCAGGCATTCTCTGCTTCACTCTTCATCATAGGACCCTCATTTTATCTAGGGTAGTCGTATATCTAGCAGAAACACCATTTTCCATCCTCCCTAGCTTTAGTCATGTGATGAAGTTCTGGCCAATGTGATATAAGTAGAAGTGCTTTATGAAGACTTTCTGAAAGGAGAACTCTTACAAAAGGAGGGGTGCCCCCTTTTTTGCCCATTTTCCCCTTCCTCCTTCCTGGAACTTGGACCTGAGGCCTGGAGCTCTGGCAGCCATTTTGGACTATGAGGCAGTCTTGAGAATGGAAGTGCTATGTAAGAAATGAGAGGGCATCTGGGTTCCTGGTGATTCTCAAACTGTCCTAGTGGCCCTGGACTTCCTATCACAGGGCATTTTCTGCGTGAGAGAACTTTCTCCTTTGCTTATATCTCTGTTATTTTGGGGTTGTTGTTAAGTGCAGGCTTGGGGAGGAGCAAAGCAGGGAGGAGGTGTTGATGATAGGTTGGGCTCACCTTCCAGGCTCCGGTAGGTCACCACCTCCAGGCACTGTTCTGTAGGGCTACCGCACTGGAGGCTCTGTTCCCGGCCCCTCTCACAGCTCATGTCTGATGAGGCGCAGGAAACACATTCAAGGTAACGGCTTCGGGGAAAGGAGGGAGCATGGCGGCCTGGAGCACGGCGGCCTGTTTGGAAGAAGGGCAAGAGGATGAGACTCTGTGGGGAGAATCCTGGAGCTCCAGCTCCCTGAGGACTCATCTCAGCATCGACTTCTCCTTATCCTACCCTTTAGCCAATCATCAAGCCCTGTTCATTCTGTCTCCTGAACTTTTCTAGAATCTATCCCCTCCTTTCCAGCCCCATGCCCCGGGTCCAGCTCAGACCTCCTTCAACACCAGCTACCTCCTTAGCCTCCTGGTTTCCATTCTTGCAACCCCACTCCCAACCCAGTGCATTCCCATCTGACCCTATTAGATATGTTTCTAACATTCACATCTCTCCTCTGCTCAAAACCCTTCTATGGCTCCCTACTGCCCTCCAAATAAAATCTAAGACCTTCAGTGTGGCATTCAAGGCTCATCAAAGGCTAGGTCCTGGCCACTTCTCCTGCCTCACCCACCTCCACCAGCCCCTCCGACTCTACTCCGTGCTGACTTCCCACAGCCCGTGGATATACTTGCTGCCTGGCATCCAGGCCTTTGCATACGCCATTGCTTTTGCCTAGAATACCTTTCTCTTGCTCCCTATTTTTCCTAAGTCCTCATTCATTGGAAGTCTCCAATTTCACCTCCTCTAGGAAGGAAGCCCTCCCTGACCCACGAGGCTGGATCAGGTGCCCCTTCTGAGCTACCACAGGCCCCTGGACTCCCCCATTCCAGTCCTGTCCACCTCTGGGTCACCGCTGTGTGGCGACAGGTCTGTCTCCTGTACCAAACCATGAGCCCCAGGAAGGCAGGGCCAAGGCCAGAGACAATATCCAATAAATATTTGTTAAATGAATGAATGAACAATTACTTAAAACCCTTCTGTTGTTCCCTGTGGTAGGCAGTCTCCAAGACAGATCCCAATGATCTCTGCTTCCTGGTATACATGCCCTTGTGTAGTCTCTTTCCATAAAGAATAAGGCTGACCTACGTAGCCCATAAGATACTGTGGAAAGGATGGTGTGTGCCTTCTGCTAGATCGAAGAAGACATGGCTCTCTCAGATCACTTGCGCTGGAGGAAGCCGGCAGCCATATTGTAAGGACACTCAAGCAGCACCGTGGAGAGATCTACATGGTGAGGAACTGAGGCCTTTGTCAAAGCCGTGGGAAGGGATCATCCACATGAGCGAAGCTACCTTAGGATCCTTCAGATGACTGTAGCCCCACCTGACGTCCTGACTGCAGTGTCACGAAGGATCCTGATCCTGAGTCAGAACCACCTAGCTAAGTCGCTCCAGGATTCTTGACTTCCAGAAACTTTGGGAAATACTATATCCTTATCTTTGTTTTAAGTTTTGGAGCAATCTGTAATGGAGCAATAGGTAACTGATACACTACCTAATTGTCTCAGGGATCGAAAGCTCACTTGATTAATTTGTGATAACTTTGCCTTTTGCGCACACCTTCCGGTCTTGGCCAACTGGATCAATTTCTTTTCTCTGGAAACACCAAACTCATTTCTCTGCCCAGGCCTTGGTTCACGTCATTTCCCATGCTTGGCATGCCCTCCCCTTCCTGACCCAAGATGTCCAAGCTGAGTCTAGGCCAAGTCTTAAGGAAGTGAGAGAGCTACCTCAGCCAAAGCTCTCGACTGGCAGGCCGCTGGCTCTAATTAGGTGAATCACTTACATCCAAAGCCAAATCATCACCCTCAAAGAAAAATAACTCCAAGGCCAATAACCCATGTATTTTCATACAAAGTTCCATGAAAACGGAAGCATGAATTACCATCATTGCCCAAACAGCTGTCTCACACCAGCATGGGTCTCCTTTGTGAATTCCTCTTCTTACTCCACTCTTCTAAACGCAGGTGACCCTTGGGACTCTGTCTTAAGCCCTTTTCATTTCTCATGGTATAGACTCTCTCCTACGGGGATTTTATCTGTTGACATGGTTTCATTTCCACTCTCTGCTGGTCATTCACAAATCTCCCTCCAGTTCAGACTTCTCTCTGAGCTCCAGACCTGTACCCCCAATTGCCTCTTGGGTGCCCCCCGGCTATACCTTAAACACCAACCCCAAAATAAACTCTCTATCTCTGCCCAGTCCTGCACCTCCTCCTCCTGAATTCTGCATCTCAGAGGTGGCCCCATCCAGGGCAGAAGGCTGGCAGATCTCTTGATCTTCCATACCTATGCATCAGTCTGGCTACATCTACTGTCCTGTCGTCTAGTTCTTTAGTTCTCTTGCTCGGCTGTTTCTAATCTCTGTTAAGCACATCTGTTGAGTTCCTCATTTCAGTCATTGTTCTATATTTGCTGTCTGACTCTTTTAAAAATGGATTCCAGATGCTGAAACTTAGTCTTTCTACTGTTTCTTGAACATACTGATCACAGCAATTTCAATATCTGAGTCACTATGACTCTGTTTCTATTGTTGGATTTTTCTCTTGGTTTCTGGTTTAATTTTCTTCAGGATACCTTGTAAGTTCCTGTCGTCTTTGTTGTTTTTAAGAGATGGGGTCTTGCTGTGTTGCCCAGGCTGGACTGTAGTGGCTATTCACAGGCTCAATCACACTGCTGATCAGAATGGGAGTTTTGACCTGCCCTGTTTCTGACCTGGTCTGGTTCACTCCTCCTTAGGCAATCTGGTGGTCCCTCACTCTCGGGAGGTCACCATATTGATGCCAAACTTACGCGGACACTCGCCCAGCATATCGCATTATAGCCCAGAACTCCTGGCTCAAGCAATCCTCCTGCCTCAGCCTCCCATGTAGCTGGGACTACAGGTGAGCACCACCGTGCTCAGCTATCTTGTAAGTTTCAACCAGAGGCCAGACATCATAGATGGAAATAAGTAAAGGCTCAAATGATGTTATCTTCTTCCAAAGAGGATTAGGTCTCCTTCCCGTCAAGGATGGAACTTAGGCTTGTTTAGGGCTGATCTAATTCAGTCTTACCCTTACCCCCCTAGGGTGTGGTCCAAGGGGAAGAGCTGACGTGCTTCTCAAGGCCTGTTCAGCTTGGCAACCTCTGTCTCCCCAGCATCACATGCCTGCTGGAAACCTTGCTCGGTTCTGTAGCTTCCCAGCTACTATTTTTTCTGCCGAGTTTCTTGGACTCTCACTCTGGGCATGCACAGCTTGCCAACGACTTGAGGGAAATTTATTTGCAGATTGGGGACTCCCTTTTCTGTGATTCCATCCATTCCAGGATTTTAACTCTTCCAGACATTCTGGCAGCCCCGAACGCCAACCTCTGTCTTCTCAGTCTAGCGACTCTCTTTCTGTTTGGGCTTTATTTCCCCTTCATGGCAGCAGATTGGAAAGTGCACTCAAGGAAAAAGCCAGGTTGTCGTCTACGCTTCCCTTATTTCAAAGATTCTGGCACCTCGAGTTCCTCCCTTCGTTTGCTGCTCCCCAGTGACTTCAAATAACTGTTTGTTATTGGTCCAGTGTTTGTAGCTGTCACCAGCAGAAGGGCTCGTCTGACACAAGCGACTCCATCATGATCAGAACTGCAGGTCTCCTCCCCATGTCTGATCCATCACTAAGGCCTGCTCATCTACCTGCCAAACAGCAGGTAAATCCACCCACTTCTCTCCTTCGGCATGGCCGACACCCTGGTCTGACCACCCTCTTTTCCACCTGGACAACCTCACCCACCTCCAAGTTTGTTTCCCTTCATCTACTCCTGCTTCCCCCCAACCTATCTTCTGTCATGAGGTCAGGACAATTGCTAAAAATACAAATGTGATCATGGCATACGCTACTTAAAACCCTTCTGTGATACCCCACTGCTCCTGGGACAAAGTCTATATATTCATTCTGACCATGGCCTGGAAGACCCCATGGAACATGACCCTGCCAAATTCGCTGGCTCATTGCACCCCATTTTTTCCTTCCTCCAGCCACACTACTTTTGTCCACCTCTGGGCCTTTCTGTCTGCTGCACCTGCAGCTGGAAAAAACCCTTTCTATTGGCTTTTTTTTTGAGACAGAGTCTTGCTTTTGTTGCCCGGGCTAAAGTGAGTGCCGTGGCGTCAGCCTAGCTCACAGCAACCTCAAACTCCTGGGCTCAAGCGATCCTCCTGCCTCAGCCTCCCAAGCAGTTGGGACTACAGGCGCGAGCCACCACACCCGGCTAATTTTTTATTTCTATTTTTAGTTGACTTGCTAATCCTTTCTATTTTTAGTAGAGATGGAGTCTCACTCTTGCTCAGAGCTGGTCTCGAACTCCTGAGCTCAAGCGATCCTCCCGCCTTGGCCTCCCAGAGTGCTAGGATTACAGGCGTGAGCCACTGTGCCCGGCCTCTATTGGCTTTTTAACAGACTCCTATGCATCCCTCAAGATCCTGTTTAGCTGTTGCTTCCTCTAGGAACCTTCCCTGACCTGAGTCAGGTGTCTCCTCGGGGGTCCCACAGTCCATCCTCTTCCCTGATCCCACCCTGACCCCTCTGGGACTGTGAGCCCCATGGAGGCAGGGCCTGAGACTGCCTTGGTCACTGCTGTGTCCCCAGCATCATGTAAGAACAGAGTGCAGTCTAACCAACTATTCAAGTTGCCATAATCAGGGGAAGATGGCATTAGAAATGGGGATGATATAGGCATATCAGTTGTTAACCCCCACGTCCCTGTAACCCATCAGCGAAAGGGTAACACCAGCCCAGCAGGGGGTCCCCAGGGGTTTGTTCTGACACTGCCCAATGTTGTTAAATATTTTAACTATCATCTCTGATTAGATGCATTACATAGACCCAGGTATTCGCGCTTTCCTTAATTAAGCACGTCTCACCGAGAGAGGAAGCTAGTGTCCTCTCTCTTATCACTTCCTTAAAAATAAACATCTGATTCAGCCTGCCAACGGATGAAAGTTTGTGGTGAGGATGCATGAAAATCAGGCAGAATCAGACTGGATGAAGAACAAAGAAAGCCCAACGCAAACGCAGGCGGTCTGCTTACTGACGTCACCGTGACTGCAAACGCAGGCCCTCTGCTTACCGACGTCACCGTGATTGGACTGGCCTTAACCAATTTCCTTCCTCACCAGGGCCAGGAAGAGGAATCTCTGCTGACCACACACCATGGATCTCTTCTTTCCCCACCCTTCCTCTCCTGTGGCAATTTGGGAGAATTTGACCCTTTCTAAGTCTTTTTTTTTAAAAAAACTGACCAGAGCCTGAAGCCATGAAACTCACAAAAGTGGCTTATGGAAGTTTCTCCACTTTTTTTTTTTTTTTTAACTGCTCAAGTCAAAGACCATCTATTCCAGGGGACTCTCACAGCCCACGGCGACCCTCTTTTGACTTCTGTTAAGAGCTTTGAGTCTCTGCTTGTATCTTGGCCCCTTGGCATCTATTGCTTGAATCACCTCTTGTCCCCATGGAAAAAACCAGACGGACAAATGTCAGTGAGACACCTCACCCACGTCTCAAGCTTGAGAGTGAGCTTGTTGAGTGCAGGTGTTGCATCTTGTACGTAACAACCACACAGGCAAATGTGCGGGATGGAGACAGCGTTAGGGACGAGGATAAGTGTGTAGCTGGGGGAAGGATTGGGGGTAGTTTGAGATGAGGATGCGGTTGATGTGGGGATGAGGTTAGAGCTGTGTTTAGAATAAGGATGGGTTTGAGTTGGAGAGAGCGTTGGGGTAAAATCAATTCGGGGGTGTGATTGCAGGTGAGGCTGAGCAGGGGGTGGGGGGTGAGCAGGGCTGGAGATGTGTTTGAGCTGGAGTTGGGACTGGTGTAGGGCACGGAGTTGGGGTTGGAGGGGTATAAAATCGCGCATAGGATTGGGATGATGATGAGGTTGAGTCGGGGATGACTTGGGGTTGGGGATGGCGAGGGCTGCCCTACTCACCAGGGTGGGGCCGGTTGCAGAAGTCTCCCCCACACATGGTCTCTGTGAGGGTGATGATCTGCAAACCAGTCCGATAGCTCATGGTCCTGTTGGTCTTCTCTGGGTAGGCGCAGCCTCTCTCCACCACCTCCAGCTCTTCCTCTTCTGGAAGGAAGGGATCTTCAGTACCCCAGAGTCTCCCCTGGGCCCAACCAGCCTCCTAGTCTCAAGGTCACCCCCTCCCAGGGCTGATCCTTGCCAGGCCTCTCCTCTTGTTTTGGTCCAAGTCTTTTTCTAGAATTATCCCCGCCTCCCCACCCTCCACACGTGGGTAGCCTGCTCTCTTAGTGACAACACTATCACTGGGACTTTCTGGATTCATCTACCCCTCACCTCCTACCCCCAGTTTAGTGATCTCAGCAGGGAGATGCCTCAAAGGGAATTTCTACAGGGAAATGCTTTGAGCATACCAAAAACTATAAGAGAATGATATAATAAATACTGCATATTCATCACCCAACTTTGTAAAATATTAGCATTTTGCTATATTTGTTTCAGATTTTTTTTTATAAGAAATGCAATTTAAAAGATACTGTTAGCCAGGCATGGTGACTCACACCTAGAACCCCAGCACTTTGAGAGGC